TTGTTCCATTTCAATCTCAACAGACACTATTTGGGTCAGTTGATAAAGGAAGAAATCCATGTATAGAGAAGGTAATTACCTTGCCTAAGGTCATACAACTAAGTAGTGAAACCAGAGTTCAAACCCCTTCAGGGAGAGGGGGTGTAGGTCAGTGGTAGAGCACTTTCATAACATGTTCAAGGCCCCAAGTTTTGTCTCCAGACCCACACACCCCCCCCACAAAACCAACAAAACTTAAATGCACACACACATACACACATACACACACATATTCAATTCCCAGCAGTATAGTTAAGACATTTGGTTCTAGAACCTGACTACTTAGGTTTGAAGTGGGAGAGAAGAGGAAAATGAAATTGAAGGGAGAACAACAATGAAAAATAGGAGACAATAAAAATCTTTATAATCTGGATCCTAATAATGCCTAATACACAAGTAGTGCTAACATAACCCAGTTACCACACTCTGGTCATCTTTGCCCTGTGACCTTGATGAATTTCCTAGGGATCTAAATCAGTATCTCTTCTGCCTTCTCTTCCCCCTTTGCTTCCTCGTGGGATTCCAGTTCCAAAATGAAGACCTAACTCTACTATCTGACACAGATAATGAAAAGGTGTTTTTATCACTAAAGGAACAGTTTGGATAGGATAGAGCCAAGTAGATTGGCTTGGCATAAATACTTTTAGCCTAAAATACAGAAGCTATCAGGTAGCTAATTTCAAGGAACTTTTCTTCACTTTGGATCTTAGAAAAGCTTTGCAATCACCTATCATTTAATGCATCAAACTGTCAATATTGAAACTACTCAGTCCCTGGCCTTCACCTGAGGCCTCAGTCCCTGGCTAGCACATTAGCACCCAGGAGCCAGTGAGATTACCAGGGAACAATACTCCCAGCTACTGAGATAATGCTAGATGCTGATAGCAATGAACATGCAAGCCAACAACAAGGATGCAAAAGACAAACTTTTGCCTTCTTATAGAGCAAAAGCCAATTAGCTCTGAGTAATTCCTAAAGGATTCATCATATCATTTAAAAATAGTTCTGCAGACTCTGTGAAAAGAGAAAACGTAGATCTCAAAGGGCATCATTACATTCAGGTCATACCATCTTTGTGGCATACTGAGTAACATGTATACTGTACACAGGGTAGTGTTCAGAAAGAGAAATCATTGTGATGTGTGGCAAGGTAAGCCACCAAACAGCAGAATATAGTAGGTTGGTGGTTCTCAACAGGGGGCAATTTTACCTTCTAGGAGACATTTACACATTGTTGGTTGTAATAAATGGTGCATGTAGGAGGTTTGCTACTGATATCTAGTGGGTTGAGTTTAGGGTTATTGCTGACCATCCTACAATGCAAAGGAACCCCCTCCCTCCCAACACAAACACAAATAATTATCTGGAGCCAAATGTAGTTAAAGCACAAGGTTTCGAAACCCTGTTGTAGGTTAATCAGAGAAGTATACATAAATAGTAAGGCAGTGTTTCTTGCATTACAAAAGCTACCTTGTAAGAATGACTTCAGAGTTTTCTAGGGAGGATGATGGTCCATGAAGATCAACAATTCCATTCTTTCAACTTTGTATATATTTGAAATTTTTCATAATAATGAAACATGAAAAGATCAGAGGGCATTCATATCTTTGACTCACCTCAAAATGGCAAAAGGTTTTTAAGAGTGCAAAAGTTATTGAAAATTGAATGATGTATTTTTTTAGTGGGTGACTTTAGAATTTAAAGTCAGACAAGATATTAAGAGATTAGATATAGGGGCTGGGATTGTGGGTCAGTGGTAGAGCGCTTGCCTGATATGTATGAGGCACTGGGTTTGGTTCTCAGCATCACGTATAAGTAAAATGAATAAAATAAAGGTGTATCAACAACTAAAAAATATTTAAAAAAAGAGATTAGATATAGCTGGTGAAAAACAGTAATAAAAACTTAGAATACCCCAACCTATTCAGAATATAGTTTATCCCCTGAACAGTTTTTTGATGCAAATGAATCTGGTTCATTTGACAAATGTTCCAAATTTAGAAGATACTAGTTCTAGAGTTCATGATTTAATATATGTGTGGAAGATTTCATTCATTTATTTTGTTAAATTTCTGCCAAATATGTATTTCTAATTTTTTTTATTTTGAAAATAGAACAGAAAATCCCTGCATGTCCTTCATCCTAATGGGAGGGTAAACTTTTCCTCTACTCTCCCAGTGTTTGATTATTGAGTCTATGAAATAAGTGGATAATAGATAATTGGAGAAAATGTGTATAAATTTATTATGTGCACAGGGACATCACATGAAAGAAAAGTCAATTCCCAAGTGTCCACTGAGATCTAGTAGCTTTTACACCCTCATAATAGTGGATAGTATAGGGGAGATGTAGGTAATTTAAGGAAAAATAAATTATTTTCCGGTAAGATGAATGGGTCCTCAGAAGAATAGGTGAGAGGCTATGACAAAATCTGGGTATGGTGTTGACCTCCAGTCCTCTATCTCTGATAAGAGTTTAATTTTTTTTCTTTTTTTTTTTCCAGGGATTGAACCCAGAGGGTGCTTAATCATTGAGCAACATCCCCAGTTCTTTTTATTTTTTATTTTGCTAAATTGCTTAGGACCTTGCTAAGTTGCTGAGGCTGGCTTTGAACTTGAAATACTCCTGTCTCAGCCTCCTGAGTTGCAACTCAAGTGTGCACCCCCACACGATTTTGAAGAGTGCAAGAGTTTTAGTTTTCCCTGATTGATGAGGATTTTCACAGAGAGGAATTCATGCCAGCTGAGTATTTTTCTGAAGGTCTGTCTTTAGGCAAATAAAGGAAGTCCAAAGAAACCCCCTCCCCACATTGTAGTTCCTAGAATGTGTTCAGTTTGAAGTAATGGCATACTAAATCAGTGTATTTTTTGGGGTAGTATTTCCTTAACTCCTTCAATCTAGAGTCTTCCTAAAGTGTTAACATTTCACATTTGTTTACTCATCCTACTAGTTTTGCTCTCTTTCCCCCCCTTTTCCTCTTTCTTTCACTTCAGCTGGACAATGTGCCACATCTTAACAAGGTTTAGAGGGAGAGATGCACATATCTAGCACACACCAGCTGGAATAACCAAATCATCACTCTTTCAAACCAAAAATGCTCTCCTCTGAGTTTTTCTCTGAACCCTTTCCAAGTAAATTGCAAATCAATGATCCATTATCTCAGTAGTCTCAAACTTCCAATCTTCCCACCTCAGCCTCCCTAGCAGCTAGGATTACAGGGGGCACCACCTAAGCAAGGCCACAATGAGTATTGTTTATTACAACAAGAAATTCCTTTGCAGAGCATGGTGGTACACTCCTGTAATCCCAGCGACTCTGAAGGCTGAGACAGGAGGATTGCACCATCAATGTAGTGATTTATGCCAGGTGCAGTGGTGCACGCCTAAAATCCCAGTGGCTCGGGAGGCTGAGGCAGGAGGAGAACTAGTTCAAAGTCAGCCTCAGGAACTGTGAGGTGCTAAGCAACTCAGTGAGAACCTGTCTCTAAAATAAAAATACAAAATAGGGCTAGGGATGTGACTCAGTGGTCGAATGCCCCAGAGTTCAATCCCTGGTGAAAAAAAAAAAAGAAAAAACAAAAAAAAAATGGCTCAATGCCCCACCCCTTCAATCCCAGCACAGGGGGTAGGGGGAAAGAAAGAAAGGTTTTCTTAGTAATCACAGTCCAAGCATTGCAATTAACACTAATATAATATTATTACTTGATCTACAGGTATTCAAATTTGGTCAGTTCTCCCATTAAAGCTCTTTTAAAAAAATCTGTATTTATTTTTATGTGGTGCTGAGGATGGAGCCCAGTACCTCACACGTGTGAGGCAAGTGCTCTATCACTGAGCCACAACCCCAGCCCCTCACTAATGCTCTTTACAGCAAATGAAAAAAACAAAACAAAACAAAACAATTCTTGCGGAGACTCAGTTATCATGTTTCTTGTCTCTATTAATCTGGAAGAATTCCTCGATCTGTCTTCCATGACATTGACGATTTTGAAGAGTGCAAGCCAGTAATTTTGTATATTGTCCCTCAACATGGGTCTGTCTCAGTTTCCTCATGCTTAAATTCAGGTTATGTAATTTTGGGGCATGATTAATATGAAAAATTTGATTAGTGTTTTTCCTAGCACCTTATCAGGAGTCATATGATGTCCCTTTGTTCTATTTCTGGGGACATTTACTTTTTTGGGATCAAACCCAGGGTCTTGCATATGCTAGGCAAGGGCTCTACCTGCAACTTCACCATCAATCTTGGAGAAATTATTTTTACCACATGGGATGATGTCTGTCATGTTTTCCCATTGTAAAGATTCCACTTTGACCTTTGTTATAGTATCTTGTGGAGAGATACTTTGAGACAATGTAATGTAAATATTTTGTTTCTCATCATACTTGCACCCCGTAGGTTGGCAGACACAGCAGGGGGTCAGAACTCAAGGCTCATGTGTTTCCCAGGGATAGATTGTATCCCTTGTGTTAGCATATTGCTTGGCACATGATAAATGGTCGCTTCCCTCCCCAATTAATTTATTTTATCTCGGCAGTTAGCAGAGTTGTAATTTATCTACTTCTATTTCTGTCTTTCACAGATTGTGAGCTCGTTGAAGGTAGACGAAGTGGCTTATTTTTCCCCAGTGTCTAGCACGTATTGGGTGCTAGAAAAATACGTGTTCGAAATAGTGGTCTGGGGTAGATATTACGTAAGACGGTAAGGGCTACGAGTCGGCCGGGGTGCGGCATTTGTTCTGTTCTAAAGGGAAGCAAAGGCGAGGACTGTGCGGGGCGCGGCCAGCGTAGTCACTTTGCAAAGGGCCCAGGAGTCTCTGCTACTTGGTTGGCTGCTGGGCCTCAGGCTTCCGCAGGGTGGGAAGGAAGGTGGGGCGGGAAATCGAAAACCGAACTTGCAGCTCCCGGCATTCCCCGTGGGCGGTACTCCCCTTTGACCCCTCGCTCGCGTGCTACACATCCGGGCCTCTGTTACTAGTGAGGGGAAGATGGCGGCCGCAACTGTGGTGGTTCCCGCAGAGTGGATAAAGAACTGGGAGAAATCAGGGAGAAGCGAATTGTGAGTATTCGGGCCAGAGGTGGGCGCAGGGCCTGGCCGAGACAGGGCGTCGGCCATACACTCAAGTGTGGTGGGAGGTTGTGAGTGTCGGGGGGGGGGGGAGATGTGCCCCCTCCCCCACCCGGTGGCGGGCGTGGATGGTTGGCTAGGAGTTTCGAACTCTGGGAGGAGAGGTACTGGTAACTGCCGTCGGCCTCCCTCCTTCCTTGACCTCCTTCAAATCCCTGCTGTCCGCAGCAGGTCAGCTTCCTTTGGCCTCTTAGCAGAACTCTTGTTTCGTCCCTGCCGGTCCCCACGCTCCCGCTCTGTCTCTTTTTGTCCCCCTCTTCGCTTGAGCTCACTTGGCTCCTTTCTCTTTATGGGTCTGCGCCGGAGCGATTCAGACTTTCCATTTTTTTCTGTTCCATTTCTTCACTCTGCACCCGTTCGACTCCGCAGTTTGGAGCCTGCCGCCTCCTTTGCACGAAGTCCGAGGAGGGTGAACCGTCCCGGACTCTCCCCTTCTCTCCGCCCGCCGCCGAGAAGCCCGGGGCGTCGTGAAGAGCCCTGTTTGGCACCTCTGGTCCTCCGGGGGAGCGGTGTCTTGGACTGTCCCGGCCTTGCGCAGCGCCACGGGCCGTGGGGAAGAGTGGCCGCTATTGCCGTTTCCCCGAAGACCTATCGGCATTTCTTTGCTCAGTCTTTTCACCTTGGAGCTATTTCGGGTTGGATTCAACTTTTGTCATTGAACGTTTCCTAAAACCCATTTTGTCCTGGGACTGTAACTAATTCTGGCAACTCTCCAAGCTTCTCTAGCACCTAGGATAACGCGTTTCCTTTAGTCACAAAACTTATTTTTCTTTTCGGGAATACAACAGTAGTTTGCCATACCGGCGATTTCCTCGCCCATAATTTCAGAGCTCCGCCCCTCCCCCCGAAAAAATTGTTTAAGCAGTAAAACCACAAATTTAAAACCAAATAATTTAGTTCTACTTTCCTTCTGAATCGCTTTAGAAGCTAAAGGTCAACCCTGTATGATATTAATTCTTGTTAGTCATTTTGGTCGTCCCCCCAATTCCAGTAACCAGTTTACTGTTGCTGGTAGGAAAGATACGAATCTTTGGAACTTTGTTACTTGGAACCAAGCGCCAGGAACGCGTTGCCTGGTCTTGCTCTTGTAATGTTGCCAGCCTATATTATGGCTTATTCTCCCCGCCCCCCCCCCCCGCACTGTTTTATGAAACTTAGTGTGAGCTCTAGAATTGGATTGCCTGAATAAGCGGACGTCTTAGCCACTTAACTAGCTGAGTGACCTTGGGTAAGTTCCTTAACCACTTTGTTTCCCCTTGAGTAAATTGGGAATAATAAGTACTCAAAGGATTGTTGTGAAGACTAAATAATGCCTGTAAAGCACTTGGCTTATAGTAAGTGCTCAAGTGATGGCTATTAAAAGTAATATTATTCCAGCCTTTAGATATTTAAACTTCTCAGGACAGCTTTTGCACTTAAAGTCTGTACCTCTCGGGTTAGCAATTAATTGATCTCTGACTCCTTCATGTGTATTTACTCTTGTACTCTAATGAATTGAGAGGTCTTTGAAGGATAGGGATTATGTCTCATATTTCTCTTGGTTTAACCCCCCCCCCTTCCAGCATATACTTATAATGCTTATTGGTTTATTGACTGATAGATAAACATTCATTTTTAACTGTTAGGAACATTTTTCAAATCCTCATATGTCCTAGTTAACAAATCCAACCAGACCATCATCATCATCATCTATCTTAGGGTAATCCCCTGAAAATGGATAAATTGGTTCATGGTTGTTTTATTTACCTTTAGAGCCAGATCATCTATTTAGGGGCTTTCATTTTTGTAAATTGCTTAGTGTCCTCTTCCACTTTTAAAATTTTTTTTTGTGGTGTTTGTACATTCTTTTTCGGTGAGCTACATCCCTGGCCCCCAGCTGCTGTTTTTGACATTTTTACTATTGTTGCTTCCAACTTAGAATGACAAATATTGGGCTGGAAGGTGAACTTCTGCTTGCTTCTGACTGGCATTGATTGGAAGAAGACTAAGAGATGTAAGAGGTCAAAATACCTGGTTAAAATAGAATTTGGGGTTCACTTTATGTGTATTTACATGATCCATGCTAACAGTCATAGTTCCTTGTGTTAAAGAGCTACTTTAAAACTGTTATCAGCACTTATATGCATGAAGTTATTGCTTGGCTTATGGAATGGGGTTTGAATTATAGTAGGTCCAAATAAGTATGGTCAGTTTTATAACTGTATTACATGAAAAGAATTTAAAGTTATATACTGAAATATTTTAAATTGACACACCACCATCCAGCACTTCACTTTCATTTATTTGACTTCTTTTTTCTTCTGTGAAAACTTCATTACATAGAGCCTTCTTCGGAGTTTATCTTGCTAAAGATAGATGTTAGCATTTTTATTTTATTAGAACAAATAGTATTGTAAACATTACCAGAAAATCCTTTGTCTGAAAAGAATGTATCTTAAATATAAAACAACATCTGGAGGGGCTGGGGTTGAGGCTCAGTGGTAGTGCACTCATCTGGCATGTGTGAGGCACTGGGTTCTATCCTCAACACCACATAAAAATAAATAAGTAAATAAATAAAAGGTATTGTGCCCATCTACAACTAAAAAAAGTGTGTTAAAAAAACAACGAAAAACAGCATCAGAAAACGTTAAAGACAGTGCAACCAAATTATTAGTGGATAATTTATGGATTTGGCTTTTGGACTATGACTAATATTTCAAATTGTTTCTTATGTATTTTGTTTTCTTTTTAACAAGCAGATGAGATTTTACTTGACTGAAAATTATCTTTTTTTTTTTTTTTTTTTTTTGGTGATGCTGGGGATTGAACCCAGGGCCTTGTGCATGCGAGGCAAGTGCTCTACCAACTGAGCTATATTCCCAGCCCCTGAAAATTATCTTTTAAAAAATATATGATGCATATCATGAGATTGTTAATTCATTTCTTTTCTGTAACTTCTTTTTTATGATACTGGGGATTGAACTCAGGGATTCTTTACTACTGAGTTACATTCCTGGCCATGTAAAAATTTTTTTTAAAAAATTGAATACAGGGTCTCACTAAGTTGTGCAGGCTGACCTTGAACTTGGTGGTTCTCCTGCCTCAACCTCCCAAGTAGCTGGAATTACAGGTGTGGAACTTTATGCTAGGCTTCCTGTCTGTCACATTTTACTAGCATAAGTTTATTCTGGGAGTTGTAGTCAACTACATTGTCATACTGTTAAAAGCAACATGAAATTTGTGGGCATTTTATAACTAACAAAGATGGCAAATTCTTAATTATGCCCCATGAAAGACAACTCTCTATAGATAGAAGATCTTGGCTTTGAAGAATAAGCTTTGTTAGGTAATTATGCAGAAAATTAAAATTGTATTTTAATTACATCCATTGCATACCTAGCTACCCTATTATGTTTCTAGAGATACTGATTGTTTTTAATGATAAATTATTAAACTCCTAATGTGTTCTTTCCCAAGGGATATCAGAAAGGCCGAGGAGGAGTACCAAAACATAATTTAAGTGTTCTTTTCAGTAATACTTAAGTCTGCGTCTTACAAGTTTCACATCTAATTGCAAACCCTTTCAAATTCTGCACATATACAAGATATGAATTTAATCACTCTAATTTTGGAATTAGTTTTTTTTTGATAATTTCATGGGCACATAAGACTTACCCATGATTAAAGTAATAAACTTGCATGTAACTGGTATATCCAGTGGAGAATTCTTTTTCTTGTAGAAATCATTAACTCAGTGAGTTTAGCATTTCTTTGTCATAATCTTAATGGACATTTGATATTCCAAGTTCCTAATCTGAAAATGCTATCTTATATGCTCTCAAAATCAATATTTAGTCTAATTTCGAAATGCTTTCATTCATTGAGTACCATCTATTTATCTGTTTGAAGAGTTTTTTCTTTAAAAATTTAACATTCCAATTAGAAGTTTTTGTTAGATCTTATTGATTATTGATAGTTTTAATAAAGTTTTAAAATTTAATTGCCAAATGTTTTAGATGTCATTCTTTTTCTTCTGCTTTCAAATGATTTTAGACATTGCAAAACTTAGTACATTTAGATGTTTAATAAATGTCATCTGATGTGAATTTCTTGGAAGGAAGTAGGGGAGATATAATTGTTCTAAGAAATTTTAGTTTTGGTGGTTGAATGCTCTCCCTCCAAAAAAAGAGTTGCTCTAAATTCAGCTGAAACTTTTACTGAAACCTTTTCTTTTTTTCTTTTTGTAGTTGAGATGGACAGCATGACTTTATTTTATTTGCTTTTTTGTTTTTGGTATGTGGTGCTGAGGATTGAACCCAGTGCCCCACACATGACAGGCAAGCACTCTGCCACTGAACCCCAGCCTCAGCAACCTTTTCTTGGTGTCTTAGTTTTCACTTGACATTTTTTTTTTATTTTAAAATTTCTTTTTTTTAAATATTTATTTTTTCTTAGTTCTCCGCGGACACAACATCTTTGTTTGTATGTGGTGCTGAGGATCGAACCCGGGCCACACGCTCGCTAGGCGAGCGCGCTACCACTTGAGCCACATCCCCAGCCCTTCACTTGACATTTAATATCTCATTTCAACCTGTATTCAGAAGTTAAATCTTGGTCTGTCTTCCTGGGAAGAGAAATACATTTTTCAGAAAATGTTGAAGCAATATTAGGAGATTATCTAGGCTATTGCTTTCTTTGTTAAAAAAATATTTCATAATGCTTAAACATTAAGGTAGAGTGAATGCTATTAATATATTTGTGCTTTTTCCTTACTGTAAATGCAGAAATTTCTTTCAAGTCTTTTAAACATTTGTTGTTTGCTTACTTTATAAATGCATTTTTCCACAAGATAAAACTATTATGTCTCAATATTCATTTTTATTTTGTGGTACTGGGGATTGAACCAAGGGTCACTCTACCACTGAGTGATATCCCAGCCCTTATAAAAT